GGTTCCACACCCCTGTCGACTGGATCATGCATGTGCAATCTCTCTTCTGATCTCAGTTCAGCCCATCTGTGATCAATCCCCCGGCCAGAGAATTGGCTGCATCCGAGACCCCAGCGCCGATCTACTGCTTCCCCGTCACCATGGAGGCTTCTCTTGCCGTCTGCATCCTCGCTGCTCTCCTGGCTACGGGTGAGTGGGGCCTGTTCCTACAGGGGCTGATTTCCTAACTTCTCCAATGTACCAACCGCTCAGAGCCGCCTGCCGGGTAAAACTGTTACTAAACGTAACCGAAAAGCAGCCACAGAATAACGGGGGCTCAGCTAGGAGTGTCAGAGTGCCAACGTCCGAGGAGGAGAGGGCTGGAAATGGGAGGAAAGGTTTATTCTTTAGATCACTAGAACCGTGTCCTGACTGGGCACGTTTCAGAGCTGGCCAGAGGCCAAGGATATTCCTGAAGTGGGTTTTTCCCCATGAGTTTGTCTGAAAGGCAGATCTGAATTTCACTAACATGAGCTCAAGACAATATGAAAGGCATTTCTGCACGATCCCCAGCTGGGGTTAAAGGACTGTTGCTCCATTGGTGTCAATGGGGTCAGATCCCCAATAAAATTCAAGAGAAAGTGAGGGTGCAAGGAAGGGACAAATCTAAACCCTCATGTTCTCTCTCCTTCTCCAGGGTCCTGTCTGCAGTGTGAGGTTTGCGCTAGAGCAGGAAACAACTGCACGGGCAGCATGCAGACCTGCGCCGCTGGGCAAGACTCTTGTGCCTTTGATCTTACCGAAGTCATACTGGGTAGGTGAGATGGACCCTAACCAACCTGGGTCAGGAAGCAGGCTGGGGAGCCAGGACTCCTGGGTTCTATTCTACACCTTCCTCTGGGACGGGAGTGGGGTGGCTGGGTTCAAACAGGCAATGGCTGGGAGCCCGGACTCCTGGATTCTATGCCAGACCCTGTGGGCTACCTCTCAATGGGGCTTAGACTCAGCATTGCAAGCAGCGGTTCTCAAATGAAAGGCCCAGGAAATTCTCAGGGTTTGCAGCTTGGCCAGTTCAAACACTGTCCTGGCGACAGGTTGACGTGCCGTCAGTACAGGCAGACACCCGGACCGTGTGAAGAAGAGGTGCTAGGAAGAATACCACCAACGGGACATGGCTGCAATGAACTGTATGAACTGAACAGAACGAGTTTGCTGTAAGAAAGCATCTCAGACATTTTTGGTAGCAAAGCCATTGTAACTATCAGGGAGTCTGGACCGGGTCAGCCCTTCCTTGCCAATGACAGCCGTGGAGGAGGGGCTGCCCTGAGACTCCAGTAGCTGGGCGCTCAGCTAGGCCATGGGGGAGTCAAGTTCAAATCCCACTTGGCCCGAATCAGGCTGGGGACTTCAGCCCAGGTCTCTACCCTCCTACGGTTGTGTCTGGCCCTGTGGCCTCAGGGTGGGTCTCTCGGTCTCCCCTGTTGAAGCCGCCCCACGTTGTATGAAATAGTTAAACATTCCCTGGAACCTGATTCCCCCACGTCCAATTGTCTCTTGGGTATATGGGAGGCAACCCCCTCCCCCCACACACATACACACCCTCCCTGGCTGGGCTTTGTGCAGGGCCGGATCTGGTGGGCGTGCTCCGAGGGCGTCCCCTGGATTAGGCCCTGCAGGTGATATCAGCAGGGAAACGTTTAGTTTGTGAATCCCGCTGTGAGGTGGCTAAGGGGTGAGCGGGACACTGGGTGTCAGGATTTTGGTAGCTCTGCATGTACCCCCTGGTAGAAACTTTGGTAACTAAAGGACTTTATGGAGCGGAGATCCAGGGCCCCCAGGGTTAGGCAGCAGAGGAGTGGGGCGCTGGAGTATCTAAGCACTGGATTTAGGTGCTGGAATAACTTTGTCTAGCCCTGCGGGACCTTGGGTAAATTGCTTCCCCTCCCTGTGCCTCAGTTTCCCCAGGGTAGAGGAAGGCTAATGGCACAGGGCTGTCGTTGTGAAGAGGGTGTCGTTGGGGTGGGAGTGGAAGGGGAATAAATCTCTGTCTTTTCCTCCTGTGCAGCGGGAATAAAGTTCCAAAGCATTCTCAAGGGCTGCGTGACGTCCAGCCAATGTAGAGCCGGTCCCGGCTCTATGAATTTTGGGAATGAAGTGACATCAAGGTCGAGCATCGCCTGCTGCGTGGGAGATGCCTGCAGAACAGTCAATGTTACACGTAAATCTCCCCATCTCCGCCTCTTATCCTCGATCCCCCTGCACCGCCTGATGCCCGCAACCTGCCCCACGTTAACTTCCTGAAACTGAGCCTCCCGCCCTGCAGGGGGCGCCCCATTAAGTAGTACTGAGCCCCTGGGAATACTCCTCCCTCCCTGCAGGGGGTGCCCCATGGAATAACACTCCCTGCTGCAAACCTCTTCCCGGCCCCTGCTGCCTCCCGTGCCCCAGAGCTACAGCTCCCCCTGCAGGGGGCGCCCAGGGCTGAGCTGTGCAGCCCCCAGCTGCTCTCCCTGCCCCGACGCCGCCTGGGGCTCGTCCCCTGAGCTGACTGCGTTTGCTCCGCTTCTTCCCAGTGCCCCTGGCCGACACCAAACCCAACGGCCGGCGCTGCCCTGGCTGCTTCGCTCTGACCACTGAACACTGCCTTGAAGAGACCATAGCGTGCACGGGAGTTGAGACCCAATGTATTGATACCATTGGGATTGTAACAATTGGTAACTTCTCTTCATTTATTCTCGGATTATTTTTCCTTCGCTGTTTTCCCCCCGTGGGGCAGAAGCGAGATGCTGGGTGGGGGCTGCTAGGTAAAGTTATCAGCTGCAGATCAGGACATCTGGGTTCTGTTCCCAGTCCTGGCTCCCAGGTGACCTTGGGCCAGTGTCTCCCCCTCCCTGTTCCTCTGGTTCTTCTCCATCCATTCCCTGTCTGTTGTTTAGTCTCTAAGCTAGGGACTGATTTAGTCCTGGGAGCCCCCGTCATACCGGGCACTGCACAGACCCACAACGAAGTTAAGGGACCCATCCTGTGCTGGGCACTAAAAACTCATAGGGAGATATAGTCTGTGCCCCAAAGAGCCTGCAATCTCTGTAGGCATAGTGGGGATCATTCTCCCCATTTAAGAGGTGGGACACAGCAGTGCCGTGACTCATCCAAGGTCACACAGGAAGGCTGTGGCAGGGCTGGGAACTGACCCTAGTTTTGTGCAGTCCCATCATGTTGCCTTAACTCACTACAAAACCACCTGTTTTAGAGATCCCACCGCTACCACCAGCACTGAGTTGCTGCTTTGTAGATGAACTGTTGGTCTAATACAGGCCTCATCCAATCCAGGTATTGTCGGTGGGCTCTAGATTGGGGCTGCAAGTGACTTGGTCAAGGACACACAGTGAGTCTGTGTCAGAGGGGGCGGCCATCCAGGGCCAGACAGGCTGGGGGGGGGAGCAGAGCAAATGGGTAGATGGAGGCTGAGGGGGGGGGGAGTTTGGATGGGGCCCTGAGGAGGGGGATTCTGTTGTGTCCTGCTCCAGCTTGAGGAATGGAGCTGCTCCCCTGACAATCACCTGCTTCCCCTCCCCTCTCCCAAGCAGGTGGAAGCCCAACGCAGATGGTCATGAAGGGCTGCGTTTCCGAGTCCATGTGCCTCAACCTAAACGTGGGTTTGTCAGCCTCTGCAGGGATCAGTTCGAATCTAACCACAAACAAATGCACAGTGGCCTCCGGCGCGGTGGGTGTGGCTCCGGGACCAGCCGGGCTCCTCCTCCTGGCCCTCGCTGGGCTCCTCCTGTTGAAGCTTCTCTCCTGATTCCCCACCCAGTGCAACAGGCAACACTGCACTCAAATCCACCCTGCAGCCTGCGTTAGCCCCTCTCCCCTGCAGGGGTTCTCGGCTCCCGCATGGACTCACATCCCCTTGATGTTGTTGCACTGAATAAAACAAACCTGAGACCAAACTCTTTGGATTTATTTATTTAAATGGGGAAAAATGTGATTCTCGTGGGTGGTGCCGTCAAGAAGCCTGTTAAGAACTTAAGACCGGCCACAGCTAGTCCAGTGTCATGTCCCCGACAGTGGCACAACCAGAACTTCAGGGGCAGTGCACAGAACACAGTAATTTAGGACAGACCCACTCCTGACTTCTCCTGGCTTCTGGCAGTCAGAGGTTTAGGGACACCCAGAGCATGGAGCTGTCCCCCTGACCATCTTGGCTAATAACCATTGATGGCCCTATCCTCCAGGAATTTATCTAGTTCTTTTTTGAACCCCCTTATATTTTTGCCCATCACCAAATCCCCTGGCAATGAGTTCCACAGGTTAATTGTGTATTGTGGGAAAAAGCACGACCTCTTCTTTGTATGAAACCTGCTGCCTGTTCGTTTCATTGGGTGACCCCTGGTTCTGGTGCTGTGGGACAGGGGAAATAGCAGTTGGCTAGTCAGTTTCTCCACCCCATGGCATAATTTTCTAGCCCTCTGTTGCATCCCCACTGAGTCGTCTCTTTGCCAAGCTGAACGGCCCCAATATTTTTAATCTCGCCTCCTATGGAAGCCGTTCCGTGCCCTGAGATCAGGCTCAGAAAGACCCCAGTGGGGAATTAGGCAGCACCGTGTCCCGGGCACCAAGCTGGGGGCTCTGGAACGGCTCGGAATGAAGTTCAGTCAGGCCCCTCCTGCAGTGACCCCCCTCGGGCCAGACTCTCACCAGGGCCAGCCTCTGACCTCGGAGCGTTCAGCCCCCTGTTCACACCGCGAGCTCCCCGCAGGGAGTGCCCCTGAATGGGATACTGGGGAAGCCATACCCGCCCCCCAAAAGTGGCCATGTACCCCAACTTCGCAGTCAGCAGTGACCCTCAGCCAGCGTGTGACACAAACGGGTTATTAGTTGTCGGGAATACAGTGTAGAACAGAGCTTGTTAGCACAGTAAGCAGGAAGGTTCAGCAAAGTCCATCTCGGGGGGACCCAAAGCCCCCCCACGATTCCCAAACCAGGAGACAACTCAGCTTCCAGCAGCCCACCCTCAGTAACACCCAGGTGCCCCTCCTCCAGCCTTTGTACAGCTTTCTGGGTCACCTGGCCTCCACCTTTCTCTGTTCCCAGCTCCTCCGGCTGGCACTTGCCGAGGATGGGCCCCGGCCATCTGTTGCCAGGATACAGAGTCTGGGCCCAGGCAGCTAGAGGACATGGCAGTCACACCTGCCCTCTAGGGAACTCTGCACAATCACACACCCTTGTCCCACCACCTAGATACTGGTGCAACGCACAGGGTAAACTGAGGCACACACAGGCTTCAGACAAACCATTAAGAAAATTCCCACTTTGGCACGCCCAGGCTGGGAGCTACACAGGAGAACGTCAGTTCAGCCTCCAGCAGGGGTGCAAACGCTTTGGGACCTGTCGAAGGAGCCATGGTATGAAACGTGCTGGAGCCAGGGATCAGTAGCGGAGCCGTGGGGATGTCCTGTGGGATTCTGGGGCCTGGCGATAAGAAGGGGACATTCCCAGAGAGCCTGTATCATGGTCAGACGCACGGGACGCTCTGGGGTGCTGCAACCTGCCCCTTCTTTGCCCCAGCCCCGCCTCTTTCCACCCTTGCTCTGCCCCCACCCCTGTTCTGCCTCTTCCCCATGGCCCCTGCCCCTGCTTCGCCCCCACCCGGCCTCTTTCTGCCCCTGCTCTACCCTAGCCCCGCCCCCACTCGACCCCTTCCCCTGAGCTGTGTCCCGGTGAGTACTGGGGGGCGGTTCCCCCCCAACCCCCAAGTCCCAAGACTGGGAGCCAGGGGAGCAGAGTGGAGTGGGCTGGGTCTGGGTCACTCCACTTCCCGCCACCCTGTGAGTGCGGGGTCGGGCCCGCCCTGCAATCACCAGGAGGCAGAAGTGGAACAACCTGGCTC